GTGCTTCTAGTGAAAATGTTGACCTCATGGGCGTTACCTCGTCAGAGGAACTCTCAGCAATACCATCTGTGGTACCCGCCTTAACCGGTATGTACTAAAATCTTAGTAAATTGACATCCTTTTATTAAAATTACATTTTTTCCAAATTATTGCCCTATATTTCAGCGGGCGACACATCACCAGGTGATGTGCATCTCGAGGAAGAGATGATCGACGTTCAGGACGTAGAGACGTCCTTAACCACGTCGATCACCGACTCTTCGAGCGTAAAGGACGTGGAGGAAACGTCCAAACAGGTACCGCTCGTCACCTCTTCGGAGGGACCTGCAAAACGAAAAGTTCCTAACATTTGTGGCGATTCGTCTGATGACGAATCAACGCATACTAATGAGTCTAAAGACCGAAAATCGCTCGTCGCCGTAAAGGGACCTGCACCTAAACCTAAGATTAGACGGCAGCGTAGTTATTCACGCTCCGACTCCGAGTCCGGCTATGAAGATCAGCCAGGTCCGTCGAAAATGTCCAAAATGAGTGAGCAAGTTGAAGATGTCTTGGCATCTCTAGTAGCAAACGCATCGCTCACACCAGCCGCAGCAGAGGAGAAGACATGGGCAGAACCCAAAAAAGTCGTGCACCGACGCGAGGATACCGAGCGCAGAAGAAAAGATGCACATGCGCATAGGGAGTACGAAAGTTTTTCTAACCATCCATTTGCAGATCTTTTGAAACCTAAGCTGGCTCCGGTAGAATCACCTTACTACAACACCAATCTGGAAGAAGATCTGTTTGAACGCGTCCCATCAGCTGGCTATAGTGGGCTGGTCGAAGGATTATTTCCAGAGGTCATTGGTGGTGTCCCAAGATCACTATGCTCAAAGGTAACCATCTTGGAAGCAGTCGGACCAGAAGCAATAGAGTCCTTTCGTGAGAGGCACAGGTATACTGAAATCGAAGTTTTACGCGCAAATGAACAACCACTTCCAACAATGGCGAAAGTCGAGCAGGCTTCTAAGGAAGAACTGACAAAAGAAGTTCATGGCTTAGTTTTTGATGACAAAATCAAACCTGTCCTGTATCATATAACAGCACTTTTCGAAAACGGCGCTAGACTTCAGCTGTGCATTTCGAAATTCCACTGCCTGACAGACTCGATCTCTTCGTAATTCAGATTGGCCCCTTTGCGATCAACATCGTTACAGGTAAACGCGGAATCGATCCATCAAAGATGATGGTGGGGGATCTCCTCTGGGTGTACACTCTAGCTGTGACTGTCAGGTTCCAAAAAAACCAAGTGTCGGCGCCACGGACCATTGAACAGGCGTGTATGGTACGCGAGTCAATCGTCTGCCGCGTGGACCGATTCGCCCTGATACATCGCGAACTGGCACCCACTTTAGGTTTCGTAGTAAGCACCGGGACCAGAAATAGTTTACGAGTGTGTATGCAAGGTCATCGCCGGTTGGTCTCCATAACGAAATGCCGCATGGAGAACCCAGAAGAATTCCATAGTGTAGAGACAAATTCCTTCATAGTGGCACCCTTTAGAGCGCGCCAGTTAGATTATATGGTCTTCGCGTGCGAACCTAAAAATTCAAATGAATTGTCGGCCTACGTCGCAGAAGTACCATATCACGGCAGCCCACCACCATTACGTTCAACGTACGAAGGACTAGCAACGACCACCGCGAACTGGTAGAAAGTAAGCTTGCAAACTTCGAACTTTTCAGGTCCAGTCCCGGCGAAGTTTTGCAGTTTCTGGAGCCCCTTTACAGCACGGCGTGCGGAGCCATTTCGGCAGCCATTACGGCAGCCACGGATCTAACCGTGCATTCAGTCGTATGGGAGTCCCCAGACATCAACGCGTTTCCAGTTGTAGCTATGTTCTCCATTCCTATTAGCAGAAAAACTGGATGGGCTGTAGGAAGAACCATCAGAGGCGCCTTTATGTCTGACATCCTCGAGGGACAGATCACTCACATAGAAATGGGTACTGAGTTTTTCGAGGTCAAGGTGCAGCTTCAGACGACCTCAGGAGTACGATTCCGTAAGTAGCTGATAAACTCTAGGTCCATGCGAATTTTAGTCGGAACATCTTTGCACACAATGGAGGAACGCGCCAATCCCGTGCTCAAAATGCTGGACGCATCAGTATTATCAAATCTATTCCACCCGGGGACGTTTGGCTGGAATTCCGCCAGAGCTTTACTTGCGGGTGACATAGACCTCGAAGGAATTGAGTTCCCGGAAAGGGATCGCATTTCAGTCAACGTCGCAGGTACGCCAGTCGAACTTAATCCGCATCAGGTCAACGCAGTCAACACCTTCAATAAGAATTTTCCCATGATGATCGTTGACAGTGCATATGGCGCGGGTAAGTCGCTATGTACAGCAGTGATGGCTTTGGAAGCCGTCAATAGGGACGAGATAATTCTCGTCGCCGCCGTTCAAAATAGTGCTCTTGACGTGATCGGCTCAAAGATCGCGCAACTGCAAACAGACAGTATTCGCCCGGTCAGATATGTCAATGACATAATGGCCGCCGATCCTTCTACCGTCTCCCCATATGCGCTCAACACGCTTATGGAGAACTTCCATAGGACCCACGGACATCTCCTCAATCCTAAACTATACAGGAAGTTTAAGCAGTTCTCGGAAAGCCGGCAGAAGATGAGGGAGTTCCACTTTACCGGGACTGAAAGGCAGGTAATATCTAGTGAGCATAAGAAACTGCTCATTTTAGAGCAAAACTCCTCAGAACAGGTAAAAATACTCGCGTCGCATTTCCTGCGCTTGTACAAGCCAAATGTGTATTTGTGTACCATGGCCATGTTGTCGCGATTCCAGAATGCCCGTTTCACGCTAATTGGTGACAGCAAGCAGCTACCGCCCTATATAGGCGTACACACAATTCCCCTAGCGGTAGAGGTAAGCTCCCGCTCAGTACTGGACGTCGCCCATAAAAATGGAAATGTGCCCATCTGCACGGTCAGCACAGTTTACAGGTCACACGTGGAGATGATGAACCTGAATTCTGACTTGTTTTACGAAGGTCGCCTCGTCTGCGGAACACCACGGAACCAACGACAAGGACTTTTTGCACGAATGAGGATGCCCAATGCACGCATACCAGTAGCTCTGGTCAACGTGGCGAGCCACTCAACCAAGTCCATCACGGGATCTCACAGTAATGAGGTTGAGGCTAACGCTGCACTAGTCCTCGTTCGCCACCTCTTAGCAGTGGGCGTGAGACCTGAAGACATTTTGGTCATTTGTTTATATCGTGATCAAAAGTTCTTATGCCAAAACAGATTACAGGCAACCGGAGTAACAGTTGGAACGGTGGACAGTGCGCAAGGATCTGAGCGATCAATAGTCTTCCTGTGTACAACCCGGACGCAAATGGAGACCAGGGACCAACAAACGTTCTTTTCGGACGCAGTCCCGTGGTAAGGACAATCTCTTTATCCTCGGTTCAGTCAACTTTTTACAGGATGTCCACACCTGGTTCGCTATCGTTCGATGGTGCCGCCGAGCCAACGTTGTCACCGATCTCCACTTCTTTGACAGCCAAGTTCGGCCAGTGCTGCGTCTTTGAGTCCGAGGACGGACTCTCGGTAAAGGGGAGAGGTGTAAATAGTATTTACGGTTACATCTATCAGGTAAGTACACCTACTTACACTTTATTCTTTTGCTTTCTCCTAATAAGTTCTCTTAATCATTATTCACGTAATGTTGTAATCATCTCCGTTTCCCATATACTTTGTTTACAGATTTCTCCGTGCCGTCGCTCGCCAGATGCCACTAGATAAGGAGGGAGGAGCGGTCTGAAGACAGTGAGGAACCGACAACCAACGAGCCACCTCGTCTATGGGCTCAGATCTCTTTATTCTTGTGCCTTGTTGTTGTTTATTTCCCGGGATATCGATACTCATTGTTATTTTGGTGCTATAGCGATAAACGCGTATGTTGGAAAGTGTTTTTGGACGTCCGAGGCTAAGTTATGATCTAGTATGATATTTGCCATTAAGAGGGTGGCAACATATCCATAAGTGTCGGAGAGATTGAAACTTATTTCTCTGAATTACTCAGTTGCCTGACTGTCTCATTACAATGGAGTTTTCCAGGAGGGGGATTAAAAGTGGTCCCACTGGCAAAAGAAGAGCTCATATCTTCATTGTAGCCTACAATGTATCGCAGCAAAGCCTTATGTCTTGTTTTCGATAAAATCTGACTAGTTAATGACTTGTTTTCTGGCGTATAGTATCCATCCTCTAAAAGCAGAGAAATCTGAATTTGAACCATAAGAGCAAGCTTTTCGACTTGGGGAACGCCGTTCCATGTCAGTTGCATCTCTAATCTCTTTATCAAAGACTGAAATGGTATAAACGATGGCAAGAAGTTGTGTAAAGATAATATTAGCTGATAATGTGAAAGCTTGTTGTGATGTTTTTGTTTTTAACTGGGTGAAAGTTTTCGAACTTTTAGAGTGCACTTAGTTTTCTTTGCAGACAAGTTTTCAATTGAACATTATTTGGGAGTGCTGATTTTAATAATGTCGATTTCGGAATGTTCTGTAATACAAAAAATATGGACCATTTGTCAAGGTGAAAACTAAAGTTGGTTTTCTAAATTACTTTGTTACCTAATGGTTAATGGAGCTTTTGAGGGGTGAGATATAAATTTGATTCCAGCGGTAGAAGAGCATCATATCTTTACTGTAGCCTACAATGTATCACAACAAAGTCTCATGTCTTGTCTTTCGATGAATTCTGATTTGTTAATGACTTGGGTTCTGTCGCAAAGCATCCATCCTCTGTGAGCATTGGTCCGAAATAGTGATAACACCCAAAGAAATCTGAATTTGAACCATAGCAGCAGCCTTTCGACTTGGAGAATTTTCCAAGTCAGCTATACTTTACCATGATAATTTTACTAGCTTTTCTTCAAAGAACTTGCTAAAAATTTGCTTTTCTTCGTCATGATGCCCACTGTTTTTAGATGGCCAAAATGCTTACTTTGCTGGCCCTATTGTTTGTGCCGGCTTCAGGCATGTTTGTGGGTGAGTGCGTAAGAGCTTATGAAACACTTATAGAATTATACAAGTTTTCAATCTCATTCGACTTGAGATTTAAAAGTAATTAAGATAACCATTTTGACAAAATACATAGCACAGAAAACAAATTTGCATGTATGTTACAGATGACACGCACATGTCGGATCAGGAACTTGTTAATTACCTCAACAAAAAGCAGCATTTTTTCAAGGTAGATAACATGTAATAAATTATAAAACAAATCACACAGAATTTACTCACGCCATGATGTGTACGATGTTTCTTCTTAGGCAGAACTTCCAAAATTGTCGTACAAACAGTTTAAGGCACGCTTGATGGATCTCAAGTATATGAAAAAACCTGAGGAAGCTAAAACAGCAGAGCAGCTTGTTTTGAATGAGAAACTACCAGAAAGGTAAGTGATCTTCTTCCAGGGTTCATGTACTATAACTTTATGGCAAGCAAAACAATTTCGATGCCCGAGAAAAGTGGCCCGAATGCGTTTCTATCAGGACTATTAGGGATCAAGCAAACTGCGGTAAAAAGCTTAGAGTGATAATTCGTGGTGATATAGACCCAAAACTTCAGGATCTTGCTGGGTTGTATCTGCAGCTTCAGTCATGTCTGATAGAGTATGCATACAAACTAAAGGAAGAGATCAGGTCTGACGTAGCCGAATCAATAACCTAAGATGTAAAACATATTTTTTTACAGAGAATAATTTCGGACACTGATATTCTAGCATGCTGTGTTTCTTGGTGCGGCGATGGGTACGCCTGATTTGCATGACTGTTCACTCAATTCATCTCTAAAAAGCAATACGACCACGATAAGGGACCGAAAACCTTTGCTATAACAATCGAGTGGCACTGCAAATTTACTTAGCTCGCAAAAGCAGTGTCTATATGCTCAACCGCAAAATAAGGATAAACTTCAGAACCTACGTAGTTCGTAAAGATCAACAGCTGAATGCATGAGTAACACGTTTGTTTTCACAAGGTAGAAACGAAGTTTATTGCTGGAAGTTCTTTAATGGAAAAGGCAACTTAGTACCTAAACTTAATACTTAAACTACGCCCTCATTCCCAATCACTTTCTGCATTCAAGTTTTACCAAAATTGCGGACTATTGAAAGTGCATAAAATAACTCGTTACTACCTTTTTTTAGCCACTTTTGTTCCTCTTTAGCATTGATCTTTTGTCAGTAAACGAAGATTACGCGACCGAGATTTTGTTTCAACAATTTCGTCAGTACAACTTATGAGAAAAAGATCTGATTTGTATGCATTTTATCTAGATAGGCGTTTTGGTGCGTAATTGTCATTACCAAAAAAATAATGAAGATAATGCATTTATACTTTTTTCTCACGAATCGCCACTAAAATTGACGAAGTTCTATATCCACAGCCACTGTGTCATCGATGCGCGAAAAATTCTCTCGCATTACTTTGTTCTGTAGATGCACTAAGAGCACCTTTTCACCATTCTGACTAAAGCTTAGGAAAACACTTTCATCCTGGGATATTTATGAAAAACATTGTTACCTCTTTTGATGAACCTCTTTTCTTGTTTGCAGCAGTGCACGATACCTGACATTTCCATATCAAAAGGCTCTCTACGACTACTCGTTTTTAAATCAAATATTACTGGTTAAATTGTATATTGGTGTGACTGATCTTGCTTATGAGAAATAGCTGAATGTCAATAGCCAAATCAAAATCAGTTTTTTTACTCGCACTACAGACGTTTTGCCCCACAAAAACGTTCATATAAGCCTTCAGAAACTGCTTATTATCGGGGAAATGTATTTCTGACGACAATTTTAATGGGTATCTTTAGTAGTTGGTAAAGCAAAAAAACTCGCAACCAGTGGCTGTTTCGCATTTTCATAATAAAAAAAAGTTATTTTTACTTTTTGATTTCAATTCAGCTTTTTTACCGGAGCATTTTTCGAAACCATTCGTGGATATTATACAGATGTAATGGAGGGTATATGCTTAAAGCCTTTCAGTTCGCTTTGCTATCTGGAGTAGTTACTGGCGGCTTGTACAAATCAAAGGTAGACGATGCGCTCAGTCGAATAGAGCGGTTGACCGATTCTTCAGGATTGCTGCAAGCCATACCCCTTCCATCTATGTGGTCAACACAAAGGTCAGCCATATTATGGCGAATGTTTGAAGGATAACGAAGTTGCACCACCTTGCCGCAAACAATGTCAGTTCAGATATGAGAAGGATTATTCAGTTGACAAGATCTTCGGTAAACGGCACCACTTTTTTTATCCTACTGAAGTCAGTACTGTGATACTGTTCAGCGGATTCCGCTGAATTTGTCAATGCGTCCGAATTGGCAATTCAAACGGAACTGTTTACCAACGGACCCGTTCAAGCAGGTTTTATAGTTTACGACGACTTCAGGTACTACCAGAAAGGAGTATATGTGGTGAGTTTTCTCTACTACATGCGAAATTCGATTCTTTTATCAATGTCACTATCATAGTGTAGATCGCGCATATAAGATGTATAACACTAAGGGTATCTGATTCTAGATAGTTGGTTAATGCTCATTGCTTGGCTTTTTGAGCATTTGGGTCTGGTGAAAGTAATTGCTTGAATTACATCATATTCAATCGCATACCTAGGCGTAATAAATGAAGCGAAATAGGCTTCGTGAAGTAGTTTATGCAACTTCGTCGGCTGCATGATGTTGAAAGGCTCTGGGTCCACATAGTTATTCAATTTTTCCAAATAATGCGGAAGTGATTCTTTGACCATTTAGTGAGCTCTTCAGTGCTGCAAAGGGGACAAATTTTTTTGCCTTGTCCAGAGAATGCGTTGACTATCGAACTTCAAAGCAAATGCAGGCACCTAGCAACACTGTAGCACATCCGTTCAATAGGATACGATACTTGCTTTCGAAAAAGTATTAATCTCACATTCAGCACACATGGTTTGGTGAGGCAGGAGGTCACGCCGTCAGAATCATAGGATGGGGTGTAGAAAACGGTGTCAAATACTGGCTCGTCTCAAACTCTTGGAACTCTGATTGGGGAGAAGAAGGTAGAGCCTTTGTTTGAGTTTCAGGTCTCCAGTGAAAATCCCAATTTTAAGCACTGACTGACTTCAGGCCTCTTCAAGATACGCGTGGAACCAACGAGTGCCAGATTGGAGAAATGGTCGGGACAGTCACCATGTATTTTAAACCATCGTCTGGTCAATAATAAATTAGCAATTTTTCTCTACAAAAGAGCAGATAGCCGAATCAGCATCATTACATTAACACAAAACTCCTAGTTTAAGCGTTTGAGGCGGGGTGCAGACAAAATCTGCCTAATTGGGCTTCCTTAACGCTGATTTAAAAAATACAGCTGTTATTTATATTTTTTGGCCAAAGTCGGCAATTAATCATTGTGAGGAAAGAAAAACACATGCATGGTCAGTACAAATCTTGTGTTTCTTGGAGATTACGTTCGCATATTTAAAGACTAGCAAGCTTACTTGCGCAGGTCACCTCGCCTTGGTACAGAATGGGATTTCCAGAAGCTCAACAGTTATGCAAAAGAAAGACAAAAACAATTAAACAAGACACTAAAAGACCCTTAGAGGTCAGCTTTTTCATCTAAGAAAACAAGATAGAGAGACACAGTTGTGCGACTTTTCAAAAGTTATTTTCAAAAGCCAAGATAGGGGGTAAGCTTCATGATGAAACGCTTTTCTAAATAGGGAGACCGAAAACCGGCTAGAGACTGCTGTAAAAAGGAAAAGAACGCGAATTTCGAGGCCTCCTGCAATCAGTAAATCAAAAAGAGGCTCAACAATAGAAAGTTGAAGGATGCTTGTTTGATCTTTATCTACTACTAGTCCAAAGTTGTGTCTTCTAGGAGTTAAGGTTTGATAGTTTAAAAAATTTTTTAAGTTCCTAGCTCAATTTATTTAGTCGTAATTTTGAAAAGCATCTTGATCGTACATCATTCTTTTGAGCCAAAGGGGCATGAAGAACCTAGCTTTGTCAGTTGGAACTTTCCAGCCCCGAAGACCATAGCAGTCCAAGGCTGTTGAGCATGGCATCGATTCGGGCTATGATGGAGGGAGACACAGGGAAGTACAATGTTCTAATAGGGACCATGCATAGAAAACAAAGAGGCGAAAGAGAGTTTTGGCATCTGTGGTTATGGACGCGCGTGGTATGTCATTGCATCTGGTAGGAATAGCAACGACTAAGTTTTTTGTGTATTTTTCGAATTCTATTTTCAAGGAGTTATGCCAAGGTTTCTACCACTATCTTATACTTAAAGCCGTTGTTCTGTGGTATGAAATGCCGTTGGGGAGTGTCTAGCCTCAAACGCGTAATAAGAATTTTGTAACAAAACTCGAGCTCCTCTTTTCTGGATTATCCTTCTGCAGCATTCAAGACGCTCTGTATCAGATCAAAGAAGCAGAAACAGTGGCTATAGCAAAAGCTACGAAAGCTTGGTGCTTGAGCATGGATGGAACAGTACATGGGAAGGCATGTCGGTAAATTATTGCAAAGGGCAAAACAACAGGACCCAAGCAAGTTGCCATTGGCACTCCACTCCATTAATTAAAAATTCACTTTTTTATGCGGTATTAAATTCAAAAATTCTAGAAAGCAGCCTTACGCTTCTAGCTTTTTTAGAAAGCAAAATCAAAGGCACAGAGTTAAAAAGCTTTCGTAATTTAGGTGGTAAACTGTATCAACGAAACTTTTTTCGTCAATAACTCTGTTTCACGTAGGTGTTGTCGATTTAAGAGCGGACAGAGTTTTTTTGGGCAGAAAGCCGTGCTGCGTATTAAGGATCAGCTAGTCCCTTCCACTATACAGGGTGTCCCAAAAGCCTTGTAGCCTAGCATTTTTTCCGACAAAAACAGAACGGAACAACATAGAGGTATTAGTATAGTGCACACATTATTCAAAGGTAGCATCTTTCTTTGACGGAAGCCTTCAAAGTGTTAGCGGTTGTCCACTGCCGAGGCATGCAGGCAGTCATCATCAGGGCCAAGCAAAGGGTGTGGCACACGATCGCTGGTTATGACCCCCCCCCCTGATTGCTGTCTTGATAAGACCCCCCACTGAATTATACACCTAAGATAGCATTACCTGAAGGCCCTGTCAAACATAATGGGCAACAAATCCGTAATGAGCATGTCAATTAACTTCTGTAGACAAAGTTTGAAGTTATAAACGAGCTATCCGTTTCTGAGCTCAAGACAAAGCACTACTCCCTCTTTGTCTATCTCAGGAATCCCGCTTCAAGAGACCTCCAAACCGTGGAATTAGAGGCCAACCAAAATTACATTTTTCCCATTTTCTGCTTTTGATGGCTGTGCTTTCACCAACTATTACTCAGAGCTAAGCAGACGTATCAAGACGTAGATGAACATAATTGATTTGAGCCTGCTGACTCCCTTTTAGAAAAGGACACATCCTGATGAAGGTTTGAATTCTGAAAGTGAAGCTGATATTCAAAGCAAAATGTACAAGGCGAAACGTCGATGTTTGACCCTCTTAAAATTGAGTTGACTAGAAAATGATCTCGTTTTGGCATGCAAACCTCACAAGAACTTTCCTCGTTGTTTCTATCCATGACTTTTTGAGGGAGATAGCAAATCTTTTGCTATCATACCTTCACACAATTTTCCGGTATCAGTAAAAGACAGTTATACACCAATATTGCTTAATACTCAGCAGCTCATTTCTTTAAATATTTATGCTTTGCTCTCAACCTGTGATGGATCTATAGAGTAGATATTCGTATATGTTTACTTGAGCCGATCACCAAGATTGTAGCACGCTCTTTATTCAATCAGGCTAGCCTGATTGAATAAAGCTGCTACAATCTTGGTGATCGGCTCAACTAAACATATACGAAGATCTATAGAGTAGTTTGAGTAATTTGGTTTCTGGATGCGCACAAGTTTTTTTTATCAAGCAGATAACAGTAAAAGTTGTGATCTGCCATTTTGGAATTCTTCGAATGGAAAACGAGATTTCCTTACATTTACGCACAATGTGAGATTTTCAGTGAAGTGCATTCGGGGTTATCAAACACTGGACAAAAAATTGTTTGCATCATAAAGGCGACTAAAAAATTTACAAAACAACACTAATAAAAAATTCATGCATGAAGCAACGAGCAGCTCTGATTTTTGTAAAAAAAAATTTCACTGAAACCATTTGGTTCTATTCGAAAAATGCAACTTTATTTATGACTCAACGTTGGTTGGAACATCCATGATAACTGCGCTGGCTCTTCAGTCTCGCACTCGACGGTTCCACGACTTGCTGAAAAAACCTAACAAAGCCCTCAAAAGCTGTGGCTGCCATAGCTTTTAAGGGGGTGTACCATACCCCATTAACTATATCAGAAAAACATTTTTAGCGAACAGTATTTATATGATTCGATAGCCTAAACCTCGTAGATTCCATAGAAATGTTTGGTTATAAAAGGAGCTTACATAAGGGTCAACACGACCTCATTCATAGTATAACACAAATGCACTTATTATCTTCTGCCTTCTTTCTCCATGGGAACGACGCATAGGTGCGATAGGGGAGCAGGGTCCTCTCCAGGTGAAGGGGGTTTTGGCTATTTCCGACCTAGAAAAGTGAAGGGGGTAATTGAGTCTTAAGATGAATGCTGACGCAAGCTTGCATACCTAACGGTAGCGGGAGTGAAAAAAAAGGAAAATAAGCGGTATAGAGGTGTAAAATGAAGATTTTCTCAGTGCTTAGGCCTTCGAAGGTCATCTAACAGAGACTTTTTTGACTCGGGGAAGCTTTGCGTTTCATCATTTGAAATACCATTCGAAAAGCTTGAGACATATAGAATCGACGTAGACCGTCTCTTTTTTTCCAGCTCTCCTGTGAATACACTTATAAGAAATCATATCTAGCTTTAGCATCAACTGATTCTATGCAATCACTTTGCGCTCCATTTCTGAGAGAAAGAGGAGAGCTAGAAAAAAAGAGACGGTCTACGTTTGCTGGCAAGATCTTGCTCTGTGCTACTGTTAAAAAATCAGGCACCTTCATTCATTCTTCACGCAGGAATTTCTTGACAAAAATGTACATGTTTTTAGCTATAATGCCATGTATCTCTGAGTAGAGGTGAGCTAGAGAAAAAGAGACGGTCTACGTCGAATCCTTGTTTCGTGAGCTTTCTAATGGTGTATAGGTTGTTGAGTGAAAAAACTCGTGGTCGTTCAAAATTGAGGTGGAGATATTCAATACTAACGCTCCTGCTTTCTATGGGTAGCTGGAGCAAGACTTTTTTGGACTGGGAAAGCTTTATGCACCAAAACTTTGTATACCATTCGATAGCTAAGAACACGAGAAATCGACGTAGACCATCTCTTTTTTCCTAGCCTTTCTGTGGAGCGAGATACGAGCAATTTTACCCAGCTGCAATATCAGCCAATTTTGTGTAATTATTTTTTCAGACCAAGAAGGTTTTTTTTCGAAGTTTATATATGATTCGAAAGCTTGAAAAACGGGTAAACTGAATGCACTTTTACTTGTAATTATTCTCTCTAGTGAAAGGAGATGTAGTACGATTCTTGTCAGTAAACATGCATCCATCACTGGCTAGTCCAGATTTTCTGCTCTAGCTCTGCTGTTTCTGTGACAGTGTTTGCTCATTGACATAATGTCAATTATTCGAAGAATCAGGCATCCTTTTAATTTTTGATTATGTTTCGTCATCAACGCCACTATGAGTGCGCTGAAGGTCTCAAGCATGCGTTTTTTCAAGAAAACGCTGTTGCTTCGATACTCGCTTGCAGTCGTGATGTCTAAGGAGAAGACCAGCTAGCGTTTCCTTCCCGAACAAAAAGTGCCATTGTAACAGCTGTCTGATTATGCCTATGCCTTGATTCTAGTCTCAAAGGCAACGTCCACCCAAAATTTCGACCTTCATGTTTTTGCCGTTCCAGGGCCTTCTCATACCGCTGATTCCGAATATCAAGTTGAAAATACGCGAAAATCACGAAAACCCCCGTTTTCAGAACCCGCAGAGCGATTTCTTCGATATGATTGGTTGGGCGCGCACGGATGGGCGGAACGAACGTCACGCCCACCCGAAAGGGGGAGGAGCCAGCGTCGCGAACGTCACCTGAAGCGATTTCCGAAGCAATTTTCTCGCTTCGGAAGCGACTTTAGGCAGCGCGAGTTGAGCAATCATACAGTTGGGGGCCCCGCCGCTGCTAGGTATCATAATCTCACCAACCTCAATTTGGGTGGACGGTGCCTTGAACCTCAGGTGAAAGGGGTCAAC